AAATTTTGTACAACTTCTGATTCTGTATAATTTAAAATTTAGTGGATGTCCTAATTTTGTATTTCAAAATTTTCGTTTGAAGCTTTGAATTTGTAGTTTAAAATTTTGTTACTACCCCTGATTCTGTATTTTTAAATTTTTGTAGAAGTTCTGAATTTGTACTTCAAAATTTAGTAGAAATCTTAATTTTGTATTTCAAAATTTTTGCAAACCCCCTGATCTGTACTACAAAATTTGATTGATACACCTGAATCTGTACTTCAAAATTTTTGTAGTAAACCTGATTTTGTACTTCAAAAATTATTGAATAACCCCCTGATTCTGATACTTTTAATATTTAAAAAATTAGTCCCTAATTTTAATTCCAAATTACATATATATAATTTTTTTAACCTATATTTAGTTTTTTATTCAATTACTAGATTTTGTACACATATATATATCATTCTATATATATGTATATATATAGATTGTATAATAATTTAAAATGCAGATGGTAAACCAATTAGTAATATTGTACGAACTATTAAACGTCAGAATGCGAAGTTGAACCATTTGTAGATGCTATTAAACAATAGGATACAGATGTTGTTGTGTACCAGTTGCAGACGCTATTAATCTTTATATTACAAGTGTTAAATTATATTTATGCAGGTACTTTCACAGTACAAATACGAGAGTAGTTTTATAATTGATATTTCAAAATCACAGAAAATTAAAAGATATTAAAATAAGCTGCAACGCTTATTATTTTAATCCAATTTTGCTTATTTTAATACCAAAATGGATTAAAATAATAAGCGTTGCAGCTTATTTTAATGCCTTTTAATTTTCTGTGATATAGTAAAAGTTACGAGGCAGAGGTTTTATTTTTAAAAAAATTCAAAACAAAAGCAAAAATTGGTTAGATAATTCAATTAATATTTGGCATTTCTTAAATTTTAAGAATGAACCTAATTTTAAAGTTCAACATAATCTCAACAATCAGGGTAAAAAACATAGGTTCAAGACGAACCTAATTTTAAAGTTCAACATAATCTCAACAATCAGGGTAAAAAAAATAGATTTAAGACAAACCTAACCTTAAAGTTCAACATAATCTCAACAATCAGAGTAAAAAAAATAGGTTCAAGACGAACCTAACCTTAAATTTCAACATAACCTCAAAAATCAAGATCATATATAAAAAATATGGGTTAAAGACAACCCTAACCTAAAAATTTAACATAACCTCAAAAACCAAGTTAATATGTTACAAAAAATAGATTAAAATGCAACATAACCTCAAAAATTAAGGTTATATGTCAAAAAAAAGATAGGTTACACGACGAAAATAACTTTAAAAATCAACATAACCTCAAAAATCAAGTTCATTTGTCAAAAACATATAGGTTAAGAACGAACCTAACCTTAAAATTCAACCAAACCTCAAAAATCAAGATCATATATAAAAAAAACATGAGTTAAGGACAATCCTAACCTAAAAATTTAACATAACCTCAAAAATCAAGGTCATATGTCAAAAACATAAGATTAAAAACGTACATAACCTTAAAAATCAAAATTACATGTCAAAAACATATAACACAAATTTAATGCGTAAAAAAAAAATTTCAGTGCATAAAATAAATACTTTAAACACTGTCATAAAATGAGGCATTTTACACACAGTTTTAGGTATACCTCACAGTTTTCCATGTATAAAATTCTACAACTTAGTGTTGCAAAATAATTTCATTTTCTTCTAACAAAAATTTAGAAAAAATCTTTAAAAAATTTTTTTTACAAAATACGACTAAAATAGTTTTAAAAACATTTTTTTTCTATAAAATTTTAGAATTTTTATTCTAAGCATATTATTGTTAAGAAATATATATATATATATATATGTCTAACTGTGTATATATATATATATATATATATATATATATATATATATATATATATATATATATATATATGCGATAGATGTGATGGTATGCGACAAAAACAAGCGGCATTTTCAGTATATGACGCGGCTATAAAAACAGCCTGAAACGGCCCGTTGAAGAGGTACCGAAGCGAGAAAGGCACGTAACTAACGCACACGTATCGCTATTATTACGACAGCATAGCGACCCTGCGACCTTTTCTAGGTACCAGTAATCAAGAGACTGACTGGAGATGCATGAAACTTGCGTTGGTTGTAAATACATAATTTAAAACAATATATATATATATATGTATATATATACGAAAGAGCCCTCTATCATTTATATCAAAAATGGCAGAGATCGTTTTCAAAAATCGACATTTACTATTATTATTTATTTATTTTTTATTATTATTATTATTATTATTATTATTTTTTGTATTATTATTAGGGGAATGTAGTCATGAATGGACCACGTTTTGTTTTTCGTGTATAAATTTTTTTTAGGAGTAAATAATTAACTAACTTCAATGCATCGTTTGACATAACCTCAAAATTTTGAAATCAAGAAAAATTCGGATCTATAAGTCTTACAATGACTATTTTATATACGTTTTTGAGGTCACTGAAACCGAATTTGAAGTCTATTTAACCCCATCACGTTATGTACTGGACATAACCTCAAAAAAAAAAAAAAAAAAAAAAAAAACTCAAAATTCGTATATTGAAAATTTAAAAATGAAGAAAAATTCTTCTTTATAAATCTTTCTATGTCTACTTTATGTTTTTAGGGTCGTTGAAGCCAAATCTGAATTTTATTTAACCTCATAACGTCAGGTTTTTGACATAACCTCAAAAAAAAAAAAAAAAAAAAAAAAAAAAAAAAAAAAAAAAAATCAAATTTTGGGATTTGTTTTTATGAGGTTATGTCAAAAGCCTGACATGATGGGGTAAAATAAACTTCAGATTTGGCTTTATAGCGACTCCAAAAACACACAAAAAACAAATACTGAAACCGTTAACATCTTAAAAATAAAATGCCTTGAAACTAGTGTAATTTTTATCTTAAAACTAGATTAAGTCAATTTTGAAACTTAAAATCATTCACTCAAGGCTGAAATTCAGTAAAAATAGCTCTAATTTTAACGGTTTTAGTCAAAAGTGAACTGAAAGTATTATTTTTTAGTGTGAACATAAAGTAGACATAATAAGACTTAAATGGTAAGAATTTTTTTTGATTTCATAATTTTGGGGACGAATTTTGAGTTTTTTTGAGGTTATGTCAAATACCTGACTTAATAGAGTAAAATAGACTTGAAATTCAGCTTCAGCAAACACAAAAACATAAAGTAGTCAACGTAAGACTTATATAGATCCGAATTTTTCTTAAATTTTAAAATTTTAAGAACGAATTTTGAGGTTTTTTGAGGTTATGTTAAATACCTTACGTGATGGGATTAAACCGACATTAGATTCGGTTTTAGTGACTCAAAAATTATTATTATTGTTATTATTATTAATATTATTAAGTATTGTTATTATTTTTAGTATTATTTAGTTATTTACTACTATTTTTTTACAATAATAAATAATGAAATAAAATCCTCATCAAATGAAAAAAAAATGAAAGTATAAATAAAAGTAAATGAAATGATTATATCAAAATAAAAAAAATATATATAACCTCTTAAATTCTAACGAGAAATTCTTTAAATCTACTTTCAAGCGAATGATTGCATGGAATTTTTTTTTTTTATTTGATATCCACACATATATAAAATGAGTTTTATAATGAGAGATGTTACGCGAACGATGAATTCGTTGTTCAATCACGCAACAAAGACCGTTTGCTAATAAATCACTTTCTACTCTCACACGATAAATTCACATTGCGTCTGAGAGACAGAGAAATATATATATATATATATATATATACTGTTCTATTATACACTGAAAAAATTTTTTTGGTACAGCCCCACTTGGAAAGATTCCCCGGAAAGTGCCCCCTGGAGGTTCTATTAGAATTCCGATTAATTTTTAAAAAAATTTTAGAGTTCTAATTTCGTCGGAATTCCGTCAGAATTCCGTCGGAACTCCGATTAATTTAAAAAAAAATTTAATAGTCCTAATTCCGTCGGAATTCCATCGGAACTCTGTCGGAATTCCATCGGAAATTCTTTGGAATTCCGATGGAATTACCTTGGAACTTCCGGCGGAACTTCCAACGGAATTCCGTCGGAATTCCATCGGAGTTTCAAAGAATTTCCGATGGGATTCCAATGGAGTTCTGACGGAATTCTGACGGAATTCCGATTAATTTTTTCAGAATTCCTAATTCCGTCGGAATTCCGTCAAGATTCCGTCGGAACCCCGTCGGAATCCCATCGGAAATTCTTTGGAACTCCGATGGAATTACGTTGGAAGTTCCAGTGGAATTCTGATAGAACCTCCAGAGGGCACTTTCCGTGGAATCTTTTCAAATGGGGCAGCTGCCCCAAAACGAAAAATTTCTATATTCAATCAACTTTATACTTAATATTTTATTGCCATAAGTTTTTATATGAATCACGGGGAAAAAAAATATTTACCTGAAATAGCGAAAAGTTTCATTAGAATAGCAAAATATTTAAATGAAACAATTAAAACTTTTGCTAATATATAGTGAAACGTTTCGCTGTTCTTAGGTAAATATTTTTTTTTTTTTCCGTAAATAAAGTTAACTGCATGAAAAAAAAAAAATTTACCTGTATCAGCGAAAGATTTCACTATATAGTATCAAAAGTTTTTTTACTTGTTCCAATGAAATCTTTCACTATTTTAGTAAAATCTTTCGCTATTTCAGGTAAATATTTTTTTCCTTGTATAAAACTAGAAAATTTTCTTCGCGAATCAAAATAAATCATGTCTTTCCATATATATATATATATATATATATATATATATATATATATATACTTAATATTTTTTATACTTAATACTATATATATTTATGATTCCTGATTATTTATATTTAATTTCTAATTTAAAAACTTTGTTCAAACTTCATTATTATTATAGTATATTTTTTGTTAATTTAATATTTACTCACGAAAGTCTGAGGTAAAAGTAAGATTCGATTTACCTGAAACAGAAAAAGAAAACTTTGTTAGTAACACGTTTTAATTAAGAATCGAGAAACAAAAAAAAAAAAAAAAAAAGAGTAATTATTATATATATATATATATGTATACTTTTTCAATTACTTTCAAAACTTTCTACTCTCGGGGAAACTGCATGAAAAAGGGAAGAACATGTTCCTTGGGTATATATAGGATGAGAGGGATTGAAATTGCAAGAGAAACCTGTCAACTCAGCGGAGACTCTTAGAAGTGGAAATTGTGGGTGATCAAGGCTTTTAAGCTTATTAGTCGTTTTAGACCAATAGGTTGAGAATAAATATGACAGTAAAAAAAAAAAAAAAATTCCATTTTCCTCAATATTTTTTAAACCGAAAAAACATTATTCTTTTAAGACTACATGCAGAAAAAAGTAGATTTCTTTGATTTAAAGAAACCGTTACCGTTACAGTTACCGTTATAGTTACCGTTACCAATACTTATTTTAGAAAACGATAACGAATTACTTTTTAGAAAAAGTAACGGTAACTCGGTACTACAAAGGTCAGTGTTTGGAAGTAACGCGTTACTTTTAACTTTGTTACCGTTATTGATTTTAGATAACGATAATGAATTACTTTTTAGAAAAAGTAACGGTAACGGTAACTCAGTACTACAAGGGTCAGTGTTTGGAAGTAACGCGTTACTTTTAACGTTGTTACCGTTACTGATTTTAAATAACGATAATGAATTACTTTTTAGAAAAAGTAACGGTAACGGTAACTCAGTACTACAAGGGTCAGTGTTTGGAAGTATCGCGTTACTTTCAACGTTGTTACCGTTACTGATTTTAGATAACGACAAAGAATTACTTTTTAGAAAAAGTAACAGTAACTCGTTACTATTTTTAGTAACGGTAACGCGTTACTATTTTTTTTTTTAGTAACGGGTCAAACTTTGACAAGGAGGAGGGGATAAAATTTCAACAAAAAAAAATGTCACGTATTTTTTAGATGGCCCCTTGTTTCTAAATTTCTTTTTTTTTTCTATTTCTAAATTATGCAATGATATAGACATAAGAGAGAAATAAAGAGAGAGAGAGAGAGAGAGAGAGAGAGAGAGAGAGAGAGAGAGAGAGAGAGAGAGAGAGATTGAACAAGGTTCTAGTGAAAATTATTTGATTTCCTTGAAAAATCTTAAAACATGCGAGGTCTTTATAGTATAATATATTCCTCACTTAATTCAAGTTTTGTCCTTACAGTTGAAAAAAAAAATTGTCTTACATTTCATGAAATTTATACATCGAAGAAAAAAAAGTTAGAATAATTTTTTAAAATAAAAAAGAATAAATTAAAATAAAATATTTCTGAAGAAAAAAATTTGTTAAAATTTTATATTTTAATTTTAAAAGGAAAAAATTAACATAACCTAAAAATTTTTGACACTAAGGTCCCTTTTTCTCGTGATATGTATTTCATTGAAATGTCAGTTAAAATGGCAAATTTTTTCAACTGGAAGGACAAATTTGAATTAAGTGAGGAATATGTATATAATTATATATATACTATATAAAGACCTCACATGTTTCAAGATTTTCCAAGAAAATCAAATTTTCTCGAGTACCTTGTTCAATCTCTCTCTCTCTCTTTCTCTGTCTCTCTTTTACGTCTATATGCATATATTGCATAATTTAGAACGACTGCACTCGTGTGTATCCACCCTTGAGTCAAGATTGTTCCTGGAACGGTTTTCAAGAGGCATGTCAGAGGGTATAGCAGGTGTTACGAATAAATGCTCGTTATGGGAGGACATAATTTTCTACATCTTAAGGAAAATTTACCAAAAAAAAAATGGAACTTTTTTTATTTTATACTAAATTTTTTTTTAAATTTTATTGAAATAAATAAATAAATAAATACCAAATAAATATTTACTTGAATCAAATAAATATTTATTAGAATCAAGTAAATATTTACTTGAACCAAGTAAATATTTATTTGAACGAAGTATACATTAACTTGAACCAAGTAAACATTAACTTGAACTAAGTATACATGAACTTGAACCAAGTAAATATTTATTTGAACGAAGTATACATTAACTTGAACCAAGTAAATATTAACTTGAACCAAGTAAATATTTATTTGAACCAAGTAAACATTTACTTGAACGAAGTATACATTAACTTGAATCAAGTATACATTAACTTGAACGAGGTAAATATTAATTTGAACCAAGTAAATATTTATTTGAACGAAGTTAACATTAATTTGAACAAAGTAAATATTTACTTGAACCAAATAAACAAAAAAAAACTGGAAGAATATAGTGGGATAATGCAGTATAAAAATTACTATACATACGGGTTAAAATTGCATGCAGGTGTGTTTCGTAACATATAGTTAAAAATCGACCAAATGCAAATCATGCTTTCTTCGTTCCAACATTCATATTATTTGTCATCACTCAAGTTATAAGTATGTATTATGGAATTTTATTTTTTTCACAATTATTATAAATAAAAATTCTGTGCAGTGAATTTTCGGTTATATGAAAAAATTCTGTAATATAAAAAATCGTTTTTGATGAAAATTCTACAAAATATTAATTCGAACAAATAAAAATTAGGCTCAAAAATAATTATGACAAATTAAAGAATATAGAGATTAAATTCTACGAATACTAAAAACTAAATGTACTAAATACTAAGAATACTGAATACTAAAAGTACTAAATACTAAAAATACTTAAAACTACTAAATATTGAAAGTACTAAATACTAAGAATACTAAAGGTACTAAATACTAAAATCACTAAATACTAAGAATACTAAAAGTACTAAATACTAAAAGTACTAAATACTAAGAATACTAAAGGTACTAAATACTAAGAATACTAAAGGTACTAAATACTAAGAATACTACAGGTACTAAATACTAAGAATACTATAGGTACTAAATACTAAGAATACTAAAGGTACTAAACACTAAAAGCACTAAATACTAAGAATACTACAGGTACTAAATACTAAGAATACTATAGGTACTAAATACTAAGAATACTACAGGTACTAAATACTAAGAATACTATAGGTACTAAATACTAAGAATACTAAAGGTACTAAACACTAAAAGCACTAAATACTAAGAATACTACAGGTACTAAATACTAAGAATACTATAGGTACTAAATACTAAGAATACTAAAGGTACTAAATACTAAAAGTACTAAATACTAAGAATACTAAAGGTACTAAATACTAAAAGTACTAAATACCAGAACTACTAAATACTAGAAGTACTAAATACTAAAAGTACTGATTACTAAAGGTACTAAATACTAAGAATACTATAGGTACTAAATACTAAGAATACTATAGGTACTAAATATTAAGAATACTATAGGTACTAAATACTGAAAGTACTAAATACTAAGAATACCAAAAGTACAAAATACTAAAGGACTAAATACTAAGAATACTAGAGGTATTAAATACTGAGAATACTAAATACAAAAAGTTCTAAAATACTAAGGATACTAAATACTAAAAGTACTAAATACTAAGAATACTTAAAAGTACTAAATACTGGAAGTACTAAATACTAAGAATACTTAAAGGCACTTATTATTGAAAGTGCTAAAAACTAAAAGTACTAAATACCAAAAGTATAAAAAACTAAAGGTACTAAATACTAAAAAGGTACTAAATACTAAAAGTACTAAATACTAAGAATACTAAAGGTACTAAATACTAAGAATACTAAGGGTACTAAATACTAAGAATACTAAGGGTACTAAATACTAAGAATACTAAAGGTACTAAATACTAAAACTACCAAATACTAAGAATCTAAAATATAATCTAAATAATTTTATATCTCAAAATATATTCTAAATATTGTAATATAGAAAATCATTTTCATGAAAATTCTGCCAAAATTCTAATTCAAATAAATAAAAATTCGGCTCAAAAATAATTATAACAAATAAAATTCCATAAAATGAAAATTTTAACGATTTTTAGAACACAATCACATGCGTTTCCTCTTTTTCTAAAAAAAATTTTTTTTTTTTATACCTCTTCGTTATCTATTTAAAACAATTAAGCAAATACTTTTTAAGAATTGCACATTTTCTCTCTCAAGAACCAAGCCCTTCTATTGTAAATGATTCATGATGAGATATTATTGCCTCAGAAAGTTATACAAACGATCATATTATTATTATTACTATTATTATTATTATTATTTTAGACCTACTTAACTCTTTGAATTTGTTCCCCAAACAATAAAGAAGAAGAAGAAGAAGAAGAAGTTTTGCCTTAATTTTTCCATTTAAAAAAGAACTTGCCATACAATAGGGTTTGTTAAGCCTAAATAATAATAATAATAATAATAATAATAATAATAATAATTATTATTATTATTATTGGAAGTTGAATGAATATAATTTTTTTTTTCCTTTCAATTCAATATCCTAGCTATAATATTATAAAGAAAGAATATTAAGTTTGCAATTCTCAAGTGCTGCGGCACACTTAATCATACTTGTAGGTGGATTTATGATTCATCAAATTGATGGATATAAAGATGTCTATATATACATGAATAGATAAATCAGAAGTATGAATTATTTTCAGATTAGAAAAAAAAAAAATGAATTACGTGCAGTGAATTTATAATAAAAGAACCAAGTCGCGTGGGAAACTGCTTTTATGTAACTAAAAAAAATGAATGTTAAGTAAATTCCGGAAAATTCGATATTTTTTTTTTATAAATAAGAAGTGTTAAAAAATTTTAATCGAAAATATTTAAAAACTGATGATTTGCATTTTACAATATTTAAATGGGGGGGGAAAGAAACAAGTTAAAGAGATGACAAGAGAGGATAAGCGATTATCTATTGGAACAATAATATAAATAAAATTTAACACCCCCCCCCCCCACCCTGTACATTAAGTTTTGAAAAACAAATTTACTGTTAACAGAGTAATAAATAATTAATTGATATACACAGACACACCGCAACA